GCTCGCGGCCAAGTATTCCAGGGCAGGCGGAGGTATTCGAATTTTCACCTTGATTTGTATTTCTCTAGTCCTTAAATTGCTGGAATTTGCGTTTTTGTTTCTTGGGCTTCTTGTTGGAAAACAGCAGGCAGTGATTTTAGACAGTTTCTGGGGCTAATTTGGGTAGAGTTGAGTTAAACTACTGCGATATTTGGGGGTACCTGGGGAGTAAGTGCCAATTGCTTCTGGTTTTAATTTCCGCTCATTTTTTTTTTTTTGCGCTACTTGGGTGTTCAGATCTGTTTTGTTCAGTAGGTTGGTTATTTACTTTAATTTCTCCCTATATACTCACCAGTGGTACTGGTGAGGGTAGTTGTTTAACATCTGATAATTTGTGTGCTGGATTGCCTAATTCAGCGAATTGTGACTACTGGGCATTTGTGATTGGGTCCACCCTGTGATTGAGTGGTTGGATAGAGCAGGGAGTGATTTAGTTATTTTCTGGGGGAGCTGTTTGGACAAATTTGGGTTTACTTGCTGCCAAAGTGGGGGTATTTTCTACTATTAGTTGAACAGCTAGCCTTTTGATTACTTTTTCCCCTGCGACTCGCCAGTGGTACTGGTTGAGATCTTGTACCTTTCGTTGTGGTTTATATTTGAAGATACTTGCTAGCTCTTTGGGTGAATTGCTGCAATTGCTGGTTGAAATTGGGGGCGCCCGTGACGCTTATATTTGCTACTTGGTTGTTTTGGTTTGCCTGTTGGTCACCATGGTGAGGCCTCGATCTTCTGCTAGGTCTAGGACCCCTCAGCCCCCTCCACCCCAGCATTCCATTCCCGCCTCTGACCCCTCGCACGATCCTTCATCCTCTGGGAGGCGGGCTCGTCTTGGGCGACAAAGAGGCGTCCATATCTCTGACCCTGCACATTTTGGGGGTCATTTAGACTTCACCAGGGCGACCGACAAGCGGCGGTATGCTGAGGCTTGTGAACGGCGAATTATTCCATGCCGTTATCGGGACGCCGCCACCTTGGGCCTTCTGAATATTAGCGTCCCCTTCCACGATTTGATTGAGGCAATCGGGTGGCGACCATATTCTCGTATCACTGACCTCCCAGCCTTTGTTGAGTTAGTTAGGGAATTCTATGCCACATTTGAATTCGACCTTCCCACTGGTTACACAGTTTCCATCCCTGATGTCATCCGCTTCCGTTTAATGGGTCAGGAATTCCACCATTCCATAACCGACTTCAACCTGGCTTTTGGTTTCATTGATCCTGCCTATGCTGAGTCTAGGGAGTATGCCAAGAGTGCGTGTGACTTTGTCCAACCGTTTTTCTCCCGCTATCGCTTTATTTGGGATGAGATGTCCGTGGACAGGGATAATTATGACCCCCGTCTATCTAAGGGTTCTTATCTGAAGGACCCGGCCTCTCGCTATATCCACCGTTTTTTGGCCTATAGTTTCTCGGGTAGGCGAGATAGTTCGGGCATTCTGTCTAAGTCCGAATTTTTCTTTATATGGTGCATGCATCACAAGATTAAGGTTAATCTGGGGTGCTGGCTCGCGTCTCAGTTCAAGTCCATTTTGCCTAAAAAGAAGCGCCCCTTGATTCTTGGGTCTTACATTACTCACTTGGCTATGAATTTGCATGTACTTGATATTTCTAACCATAACTTGCATATAGCCTGTCAAATGGAGCCTTTGGATATCCCGTGCTTAGAGAAAATGGGCTTAGTTCGGGAGGGCGACGATGGTTGGGAGGTAGTTCCACCGGGGCCGCTACGCCCTCCCCCTCGGTCATCTTTTGCCCGAGCTTCCACTGAGGGCGGCGACCCTGGCCCGTCTTCCTCCGCTCCGCCACCTACCGCCCCATCGGCCGACGATTGGACCCAACTCCGGAACACCGTTGATAGACTGGAGACTCACGTAACTCACATTGGCATCAACTTGCATAACATGGCTCAAAACCTGGCTGCGTTTATGCAGCAGGCCGGCTTTCCACCTCAGTTCGCGCCTGATCCACCCCTGTTTTGACGATTACAGGGAAGTATCGTTGCCCCTCTCCTTACTTTTTGCTGTTACATTATCACATTGAGGGCAATGTGTGAATTAGGTGTGGGGGGGTCAGTTTGGGTGCTGAATATTTCCAGTTTTTCCAGTTTAGGTGTTTTCCTATGTTTTTAGTTCAAGTGTTTTCTGTTTAGGTGTTGGTCCTTTATTCCTTTTGGATGTTTTTACCTTGCTGATATCTGGGTAAATATGTTGGCAGCTTACTCTTTTATTGCTAGTTGTAGTTTATACTTTGAGTTGAGTTTCGGTGGCAAGTAAGAGCATGCTGTCTTGGTGAATATTTTGAGTTTAACGACTTGGGGCGATTTATGGCTAACTTGTTTAGGCAATATAAATATTTTGCTGGCATTGTTGTGTGGTTTGGTCCCCTGTTGACCTTGGTCCTTCATGTTTAGGAGATGACGTGGGCCATGATCTTAAAAGTGTTTGTTATTTTGGTACGTTAGTGAGAATAACGTATGGCTATACTCCGCTAGTGCCGCCACCTAGTAACCGGAAGTCTTCACCACAAGTGTCGACTCTCGCGTCAAAAAGTGGCGATATCCATGAGTAAATAGTCCTGGAGCTATGAAAGGTCGAGTAACTGGGCTCTTTCATCTAAAAATGTCAGAGTTCACGTCAAAAGACTTGAATAGCTCGGGACTAAGCATTACTCTTTGCAATCTAAAAAAAAAAGAAAAAGGAAAAAAGCAAAAAAGAAAATCAGATGTGGAGAATATGTGAGTTTATGATCATGTTGGCCTGCCGATCCTTGGTTCGTATTGTTGAGATTTTGGTTGACAGTTGACTTGATTACTGATTGTTGCTAGTTAATATTTGGATTTCCTACGCGAATTAGCCATGAATTGGACAGGTCTATGAACTGAGGAGCTAACCGGGAGAGACACGTCTTGATACTTAGTCACTAGATCTTGATTTTGGGTATAAGCGCAGCTGGCTATGATAATGTGAAAGCTAGCCATTGTTGAGTTGAATTGTCTCCATGCTTGAGGGCAAGCATGATTCAGGTGTGGGGGGAATTGATAGGGTATATTTTGTTAGTAATTTTATTAGTAATTTCCCCTTCTATCCCTGACAAATATTGCGTTAGTTGCTGATATTTACTCATATTTGGTATTTGGAATCAATTTCAGGAGTGAAGCAGAAATATTACCAAATGGAGGGACTTTCTAGAGCATATTACTAAGGGTCAATTCGGCAGGGCCGAGCATTGGCAATTCATCTTCTTAATTTCGGTGGGGGCCCATGGAATAAAGATCACTAGTCATTTGGCCAACAGCAGACAACGTACAAAGCCTAAGTACTAAGAAGAAATTCGGCAGACTTGTGCCAATTGAAGGGGACCACTGGAGAGAAGACATGGAGTTGGCCTGGCCCACGGAAATTGAAGCCTTAGTCATCCTTTTGGCTTGAGAAAGAAAAAGGACGTAAAGAGGCTGCTGCTTGGAATCTCTTTTGGGTTTTTCCTAATTGTGGTGGGACCGCAGAGGAGATGGTTTGAGTCAACTCCCTTTTGTTTCTTTAAAAGGAAAAGAACGTACAGAAGCAAGGGACCACCTTTTAGTTTTAGCTTTTAGTTCAGTTTTAGTTCTTCTTTCTCCTGACTGGCCTCTGACACACGCCAGGTGTTCGACAATATTCCCCAACGGGAAAAACACTTTTATTCCTTGCTTCTTAATAGAAAACGCAATGCCTTTGCAATTTATTAATTCGTGTGGTGATTTAATTATGCGGCGTGGCTAAGTCTTCCGTCTAGTCAGGGGTCAACTCGACGGCGCAGTCCCGGAAATCTGTGAGATCTAATTAGTTTTCACGTGTTCCTTTATCTATTAATATTTGCATGTTGCCTGATTTAACTTTCATGGGATTATTTTATTAATTGGATGTCAAGGGCCCGATGTTCAATGTGATATATTAAACTCGTGCCAATTTAGTCAATTAAATCCGTAATTATTTGATTGATTAATATTAGTGGCAACTGGTGTGTTTACACATTAGGGGAGCATGCAATCTAATTTAAATAACCCTCGTAGCGTGTTATTGATTAGGACTAGGTTTTTCTGGTTATTAATGCAATTGGAAAATTAATTCCTACGGTCGTACCTAGGAGTACTTTTCTGGTTAGGGGTGACTAATGGTCGTACCTTGGTCACCTATAAATTAAGGAAAAATTGGTCATTAGAGTTCCTTGATGGCTATAACTAGTCTATTAATAAATTAAGTGAACCTCTCTTGCATCAATAATCGGATAAATGGACTGTGCCTGAGTAGTTGCTTCCTTGGCTAGAATTTATTTATTCCTGATTAAGTTCCTGCTATATTTGTGCTAGTTATTTATTCATTTTTAGTTAAATTGTTTAATTGTTTTTAGTTTTATTCCTGTGAAATCCCCCCTTATCAATTGGACTTTAAAAGAGACAGATATCTCCAGTCCCTGAGGAGACGACCCTACTTGCCATTGTCTACTATTTAGTAATTTTTGTCAACTAATTAATTCTGGTATATCAGGTTAAGCAAACTCTTCGGGAACAGGGTGAATCAAGTAACCCATTGCACACCTAGAGTCCCTGCTCCAGTACCTAGGATTAATTACTGACTACTTTTAGTGGTAACTAGGTTCTATTTTTATTATTATTATTGCACAGGTTTGACGACCTGTCAATTTTTGGCGCCGTTGCCGGGGACTGGCGTTATTATTTGCTTCTTTATTAAGTTCATTTTTGCACTAATTTTCTGGTATTTTTCTAGTGTATGCCTAGGTCTTCTCGTACAGGTGAATTGATTTTTGACCCTGAAGTAGAGAAGACCGTGCGTAGAACGAGAAAGGAAACCAGACAGCTCAGAGAGGAGCACTCCAGTGCTGCATCTCAGAGATCTGAGCCCGAAGTTGAACCATCAGATTCGGTTGGTGACACTTCAAGTGATTCGTACCAAGAGAACGTCGCCATGGCCAACACACAAACATTAAGGGAGTTGGCTGCTCCAAACTTGACCCAACAACCTCTTTGCATAACTTTTCCTCGCCTTAGTGAGAATGCAGCTTTTGAATTAAAACCTGGTTTAATACATTTGTTGCCTGTTTTTCATGGTCTGCCAGGAGAGGAATCCCACAAACACATGCAGGAATTTGATGTAGTGTGTTCGAGTATGAAGCCCTCGGGAGTAACTGATGAACAAATTAAATTAAGGGCCTTCCCTTTTTCTCTCAAGGATTCGGCAAAGGACTGGTTATACTGTCTACCTGCAGGCATTATCACCACGTGGCCAGAGATGCAGAAAAAATTTTTTGAAAAATATTTCCCTGCATCTAGAGCTGCTAGTTTGCGAAAGGAAATATGTGGCATCAAGCAATTTCAGGGGGAATCCTTGTATGAATATTGGGAGAGGTTCACCAGGCTGCGTACCCGATGCCCTCATCACCAAATAAGTGATCAACTGCTGATTCAGTACTTCTATGAGGGGCTACTGATGAACGATAGAAATATCATTGATGCAGCAAGTGGTGGTGCACTGGTGAATAAGACTACCCAGGAGGCATGGGACTTAATCGAGCGAATGGCAGAGAATTGCCAGCAGTTTGGTACGAGAGCAGATGTTCCTACGAGAAAGGTCAACGAGGTAAGTTCATCTTCCATTCAACAGCAGTTATCTGAATTAACCTCATTTGTTCGACAGATAGCTGTAGGAAATGCACAGCAGGCCAAAGTGTGTGGGATTTGTACGAATATTGGTCATACAGCTGACGCATGCCCACAGTTACAAGAGGAGGGAATTGAGCAAGCAAACATGGCTGGCAACATGCCCATGCCACGTAGACAGTATGACCCCTATTCCAACTCATACAATCCGGGTTGGAGGGATCATCCAAATCTGAGCTATGGGGGAAATAAGCAACAAAATTTCATCCCCAATAGACAGCAGGGCTTCCAGCAACAATATCAAACAAGGAATCAACCATCCTCTGCCTCAGGTATGTCCCTAGAAGACATGGTTAAAACCATAGCCTCTAATACTATGAAATTTCAACAGGACACTGAGGCCAGCAATCAAGAGATGAAAGCACGTATGCAAAACTTGGAAAATCAGATGAGTCAATTAGCCTCAATTGTCAACCGACTAGACTCCCAGGGAAAGGGAAAACTTCCATCCCAACCTGAGGTGAATCCCAAGAATGTAAGTGCAATGACCCTCAGGAGTGGGAAAGAGGTTGAAGGACCAGCGCCAGTAGCTCCGAAGGACAAGAATGAGGACCGCATTGAGAAGGAGCTCGGGCAAGAAGGAACGCCCGGCACAGATAAAGAGGTAATACGTAACCCAGTGGTTCCAGTAAAGCCTAACCCACCACCTTTTCCTAGCAGGTTGGAAAGGCCTAAAAAGCAAGACAAGGAAAAGGAAATTTTGGAGATGTTTAGGAAGGTGGAGATAAATATCCCCTTACTTGACGCAATTAAGCAAGTACCCCGGTATGCCAAATTTTTGAAGGACCTATGCATCAATAGGAAGAAACTGAGGGGAGATGAAAGGATAATTGTGGGGGAGAACGTATCTGCAGTGCTTCAAAGAAAACTTCCACCCAAGTGCGGAGACCCAGGTATGTTCACTATCCCTTGTAAAATAGGGAACACTAGCATTAGGAATGCCATGTTAGATTTAGGAGCCTCTATAAATGTGATGCCCAAGGCTATTTATGCTTCTCTAAATTTGGGTCCCTTAAAGGAAACTGGCATTATAATTCAATTGGCTGATAGGACTAATGCTTATCCCGATGGGGTGATAGAAGATATGTTAGTGCAAGTGAACAATTTAGTGTTCCCTGCTGATTTTTATATTCTTGATATGGGTGACGAACGTTCTCCAAATCCATCACCAATTTTGTTGGGGAGGCCCTTCTTGAGCACAGCTCGTACAAAAATTGATGTTAGTGAGGGCACCCTAACGATGGAATTTGATGGAGAAATAGTTCATTTCAGTATATTTGAGGCCATGAAATATCCATGTCATTCTAATGCTATTTTTGCTGTGAGTGTAATTGACCCTTTGGTGCAAGAAGTATTTGAGATTAATGGCAGGGATGAATTGGAGGTAGCAATCACTAAACATTTGGATCTGGAAGCAGCCTACGAAATGGAGTTAGACATCAGTTTGTAAAGAATGATTGGAGCCTTGCATTCACTGGGCCAAAGTCCTCTAAGGTATGATGTTGCTCCTATATTTGTGCCTGAACCGCACCTAAAGTTATTACCTTCTATCGTGCAGGCACCTGAAGTGGAGTTGAAACCCCTGCCCAAGCATTTAAAGTATGCCTATCTGGGTGAAAAAGAGACGTTACCAGTGATAATCTCATCCAAATTATCACCCACGGAGGAGGATAAGCTGCTACGGGTTTTAAGGGAGCATAAGGAAGCTATAGGGTGGACAATTGCAGACATCAAGGGTATAAGCCCGTCCGTATGTATGCATCGAATTCGCCTGGAAGAGGATGCTAGACCGATAAGACAACCACAAAGAAGATTGAACCCCAACATGATGGAAGTGGTCAAGAAAGAGGTAATCAAGCTTCTGGACGTAGGAATTATTTTTTCTATCTCAGATAGCCCATGGGTGAGCCCGGTACAAGTGGTGCCGAAGAAAGTAGGGGTAACTGCGGAGGAAAATCATGAAGGGGACCTTGTTCCAATTCGAAAGCCTACGGGTTGGCGCCAGTGCATCGATTACCGTAAATTGAACGCAGTGACCAAGAAGGATCATTTTCCCCTTCCATTCATTGATCAAATGGTTGAAAGGTTAGCTTGTCGTGCCTATTATTGTTTTTTAGATGGTTTCTCTGGTTATTTTCAGATAGCAATTGCGCCAGAGGATCAAGAGAAAACAACTTTCACTTGCCCCTTTGGCACTTTTGCCTATCGAAGGATGCCCTTTGGATTGTGCAATGCCCCCGCAACATTCCAGAGGTGCATGATTAGCATTTTTTCTGAGTATGTGGAGAGAATAATTGAGGTATTCATGGATGACTTCAGTGTCTATGGTGATAGCTTTGACGATTGCTTAGATAACTTGACGTTGATTTTAAAAAGATGCATTGAGACTAACCTAGTGCTCAATTGGGAAAAATGTCACTTTATGGTTGAGCACGGGATAGTTCTAGGACATGTAGTGTCATCTAGAGGAATTGAAGTTGATAAAGCTAAAATAGATGTAATATCTGCTTTGCCTTACCCCGTAACTGTACGGCAAGTTCGTTCCTTTCTAGGACATGCAGGTTTCTATCGCAGATTTATCAAGGACTTCTCAAAGATTGGGGCACCACTTTTCAGGCTTTTACAAAAGGATGTTATTTTTGAATTCAACGAGGAGTGCAAGGAAGCGTTCGAGAAGTTGAAGAAATTACTCACTTCTCCACCTGTCATCCAACCACCTGACTGGAATCTCCCGTTTGAAATTATGTGTGATGCCAGTGACTACTCTGTGGGAGCAGTCTTGGGACAAAGGGTGGAGAAAGCGGCACACGCAATATATTATGCCTCCAGAGCTTTAAATGGCGCCCAACTCAATTACTCTACCACGGAGAAAGAACTCTTAGCTGTTATTTTTGCTTTAGAAAAATTCAGACCTTATTTGCTAGGTGCTAAAGTAATTGTGTATTCTGACCATGCAGCTCTGAGGTACCTACTGACCAAGAAGGACGCTAAACCCCGCTTGATAAGATGGATATTGCTCCTGCAGGAATTTGACTTGGAAATCAGAGATAAAAAAGGAGCAGAGAATCTAGTAGCTGACCACCTCAGTCGAATACTGGTAGCGGAGGAAGAATTACCATTAAGGGAGTCTTTTCCTGAAGAGCATTTACTTTCTATTAATTCATCCCCTCCTTGGTTTGCAGATATTGTGAATTATTTGGTTACTGACAAATTGCCCGCAGGTTGGCCCAAGGCAAAAAGGGACAAACTAAAAAGTGATGCAAAGTACTATGTCTGGGATGATCCCTATCTGTGGAAACAAGGTGCTGACCAAATAATGAGACGATGTGTAAGTGAAGGTGAATTCCAATCTATATTGACTTTCTGTCACTCTTTTGCATGTGGGGGTCATTTTGGACCTAAACGGACTGCTAGAAAAGTGTTGGAAAGTGGTTTTTTTTGGCCTACCTTATTTAAGGATGCTTACTTGTTTTGTAAGACATGTGATAAATGTCAGAGGGTAGGCAATTTATCCCGAAGGGATCAACTGCCACAGGTGCCCATGCTTTTCATTGAAATTTTTGATACTTGGGGTATATATTTCATGGGTCCCTTTCCAAATTCTTGTGGATTTTTATACATTTTACTAGCAGTAGATTATGTCTCGAAGTGGGTGGAAGCAAAAGCCACCCGCACTAATGATTCTAAGGTTGTTGCAGACTTCATAAAATCTAACATTTTCGTGCGATTTGGAATGCCACGGGCAGTTGTGAGTGATAGGGGGACACATTTTTGCAACAAGACAATTGCTGCTTTGTTCAGGAAATATGGGGTACTTCATAAGGTTTCTACTTCCTACCATCCACAGACCAATGGCCAGGCTGAAGTCTCGAATAGGGAAGTAAAGTCTATTTTGGAAAAAATGGTCCGCCCTGATAGGAAGGACTGGAGTTCAAGGTTGGAAGATGCGTTGTGGGCATACAGGACCGCTTACAAGACACCTATAGGGATGTCTCCCTATAGGTTGGTATTTGGTAAGCCTTGCCATCTTCCAGTGGAATTCGAGCATAAAGCATTTTGGGCGGTTAAGCAATGCAATATGGACATCGAAGAGGGCGGAATTCGAAGGAAGCTACAGTTACAAGAATTGGAGGAGATTCGCAATGAAGCCTATGAGAATGCTGTGATCTATAAGGAGAAAAACAAGATTTTTCATGACCAGCAGGTCTCTAGGAAGACGTTCGAAAGTGGGCAAAAAGTTCTACTGTACCACTCAAAATTGAAGTTATTTCCGGGTAAGTTACGTTCTCGTTGGATTGGTCCCTTTGTGGTAACTAATATCTTTGATTATGGTGCAGTGGAGATCCAGAGTCTAAGGACAGAGAAGAAATTTGTGGTGAATGGCCATCGTCTTAAGCCGTATTATGAAGGGGTTCCAGTTGAGCGGGTAGAGATGATGCATTTGGAGGACCCAATTTGCTTAGTTTAAGCAAATTATGGGTTATGTCTAGCCAAAGACACTAAAGAAAGGCGCTAGTTTGGGAGGCAACCCGAATATTAGTCTTGTTATTTCTAGTTGTTTTGATTATTTCTAGTTGTTCTTCTTTTGCATTGGGTCATTTACTCGTTGGGTAGTATCTGTATTAATATTTCCTTCACTGCAATCAGGAAGTGAGATCTTGGCGTGCCCGCGCGGTGTTTGGATCTTCTGAGACCAGAGGACGAAGACCAATCTTGGCGTGCCCGCGCGGTGTTGGACGACCCAAACCATGTTTTTGCAGTACAACAAAAAAAAAAAAAAATTTATTTATTATTATGATTATTATTATTAATACTTTCATTAAAAGAAAAAGAAAAGATTGTTTTCTTTCCAATTCAAAGATTCAAACTACGGCAAGACATATAAAAAAAAAAAAAACAGTTTTTCTTGTCTTTCTTTTCTTTCTTTCCTTTTTTTTTTCTTTTTCTTTCTTTCTTCTTCTTTCTTTCTTTTTTTCTTTCTTTCTTCTCCTCTGTTTTGCTCTGTCCGCCGCCCGTGCCCACCGCCATCTCCAATTCCATCGCACGCCGCTCCCCCCTGCCGCTCGTCGACGCGGCCCACGCCCCTCGCCACCGCCGCACACCAGCTCTCCTCCCACTTCCTCGCACGCCGCCGCCCGCTGCTGACCTCTGCGCGTGGCCAGAGCTTCACGCTGCGCCACCCACCTCGCGCGGGCCTCTCGATCTGCACAGCTCCAGCCGTCCCAGCCGCCCAGCCGCCACTCTCGCGCCAGCCGCACGAAGCTCCAGCCACGCCACAGCCGCCGCACTTCCTCAGCCGCAGCCGCAGCTAGCATTCGCCACAGCCACGCTCGCGCCAGCTCGCGGCCAAGTATTCCAGGGCAGGCGGAGGTATTCGAATTTTCACCTTGATTTGTATTTCTCTAGTCCTTAAATTGCTGGAATTTGCGTTTTTGTTTCTTGGGCTTCTTGTTGGAAAACAGCAGGCAGTGATTTTAGACAGTTTCTGGGGCTAATTTGGGTAGAGTTGAGTTAAACTACTGCGATATTTGGGGGTACCTGGGGAGTAAGTGCCAATTGCTTCTGGTTTTAATTTCCGCTCATTTTTTTTTTTTTGCGCTACTTGGGTGTTCAGATCTGTTTTGTTCAGTAGGTTGGTTATTTACTTTAATTTCTCCCTATATACTCACCAGTGGTACTGGTGAGGGTAGTTGTTTAACATCTGATAATTTGTGTGCTGGATTGCCTAATTCAGCGAATTGTGACTACTGGGCATTTGTGATTGGGTCCACCCTGTGATTGAGTGGTTGGATAGAGCAGGGAGTGATTTAGTTATTTTCTGGGGGAGCTGTTTGGACAAATTTGGGTTTACTTGCTGCCAAAGTGGGGGTATTTTCTACTATTAGTTGAACAGCTAGCCTTTTGATTACTTTTTCCCCTGCGACTCGCCAGTGGTACTGGTTGAGATCTTGTACCTTTCGTTGTGGTTTATATTTGAAGATACTTGCTAGCTCTTTGGGTGAATTGCTGCAATTGCTGGTTGAAATTGGGGGCGCCCGTGACGCTTATATTTGCTACTTGGTTGTTTTGGTTTGCCTGTTGGTCACCATGGTGAGGCCTCGATCTTCTGCTAGGTCTAGGACCCCTCAGCCCCCTCCACCCCAGCATTCCATTCCCGCCTCTGACCCCTCGCACGATCCTTCATCCTCTGGGAGGCGGGCTCGTCTTGGGCGACAAAGAGGCGTCCATATCTCTGACCCTGCACATTTTGGGGGTCATTTAGACTTCACCAGGGCGACCGACAAGCGGCGGTATGCTGAGGCTTGTGAACGGCGAATTATTCCATGCCGTTATCGGGACGCCGCCACCTTGGGCCTTCTGAATATTAGCGTCCCCTTCCACGATTTGATTGAGGCAATCGGGTGGCGACCATATTCTCGTATCACTGACCTCCCAGCCTTTGTTGAGTTA